GTTTTTTAGGTTCTTTTGTTGTGTTTATCCAACTGCATGTGCTGTGATGACTTCATTTTCCTCAGTGGCCCCTGCTGCTTCCCTTCTAGAGTCTCAGTCCACTCACACAGCCCTTTTCCTTTTGCAGAAGTGCTGGAACACTTTTAAATGACCTTTGGCCAATTTTCCTCCCCAAAGCTCTACACCTCATCCCTGATGGTCGCCTTTGGCTTGTGTCAGAGGGGAATGTAGTTACTGCTCAAAGTGAAGCATCACTCGGTAACTCTGCCCTGACTTTTCCCGCCAATTGCCATTGGTTCTTATCTCTTGATGCCTCAGGTTTCTGTCGGACATCAGAACAACATGCTTCCCAAGCTCCAGGGAACACATATCAAGTCCTCCAGTGATCCCCTGAAGTCTGCTCTGGCTAGGCTTGAGGGGAGGGAGGAGGGGGAGCCTTGTAGGACAGGAGTGGAATTATCATTATGGCAGTAGCTCTTGCCAAAGAAATCTCTCCACAAATTTTCTTCCTCCTCCACTTTCTTAACCTGTTTATATCCTCATCGTAGGTAGGTTTTCTAACTGATTCTCAAACATTTGCTTTGGAAACCTGTATGTGGGTTTATCATATTACTCTGGGATCTGATTGTTGTCTACTGTCTTATTGTCAGAACTTCTAATCTCAGGACCAGTTACACTATAAATAAATTCATAGCAGTGTTGAAAAACAACTCAAGGTGCTGTTTGTGGGCCTGAAATTATGAGATATTCCTGAAGGTAAAAAGCAGGTGAGGTCAGTTTGAGAGAGAACCCAGACCCAAAAGTGAAAAAAGAAGAGGACTGACTGTTAAAAATATGGCAGTTGCTTTAGGGGTGCTGAAGGTTCAGAAGGATTGTATGAGATGGGATGAGAAAGAGCCCAGTGGAACTGTCAGGATTATTGGTTGGAGCACATTACAGCCAGAGAGTTTAGCTCTCCGCACCTTTTCTGGCTTGTGCCAAGCAGTGGGTAGCAACAGCACATACTTCTCATATGACTTAGCCATTCCTCTTCTAGATATTTACCCAAGAGAACTGAAAACATATGTCTATACAAAGACCTGTATATGAACATTCACAGCAACAGTATTCACAAAAACAAACAATTAGAAACAATCTAAATGTCCATCAACTCATTAATGAATGGATAAACAAAAAATGGCATATCCGTGCAATGAATACTACCCAGCAATAAACAGGAATGAATAAGCTGATACAGGCAACAATATAGATAAACCTCAAATTATTATGCTAAGAAGCCAGACATAAAAGTCTGCATATTGTATGATTGCATTTATATGACATTTTCAGAAAAGGCAAAACTGTAGAGATAGAAAGAAAATCAATGTGTGCCTGAAGCTGAGCAGGGGAGGGGATGGACTCTAAATGACATAATGAAATTTTAGAGCATGATGAGAGAGTTCTAAAACTGAATTGTAGTGATGGTTGCATAACAGTAAAAATTTACTAAATATTATTGAAAAATCATCCACTTTCAATGGGTACATTGTATGGCATATAAATTTTACCTCACTAAAACTGTAAAACAAACCTTATTGATTATTACTAAAATAGAAATAGAATACATAACTCCTAAACAGTTAAAATAAAAATGAAATTAGTAAAACCCGATTACCCTAGCAAAAACCAAAATGGGTATAAAATGAAACAACAGGAAAACATGGTACATGGTAACTACAAAATAAGATGGTAATATTTGTCCAAACTTATCATAGCCAAGAGCATTGTAAATGGATTAATTTGCTAATTAAGAGACAGTCTTGGGGCGCCTGGGTGGCTCAGTTGGTTAAGCGACTGCCTTCGGCTCAGGTCATGATCCTGGAGTCCCTGGATCGAGTCCCGCATCGGGCTCCCTGCTCGGCAGGGAGTCTGCTTCGTCCTCTGACCCTATCCCCTCTCATGTGTTCTCTCTCTCTCAAATAAATAAATAAAATCTTTAAAAAAAAAAAGAGACAGTCTTTTTTAAAAATTATGTATACACTGAATTCTAAGAGATATCTTTATAAAAAAAAAACAACACAGAGAGGAGCTCAAAGAGATAACATGTTCCTGAATGAGGTTTTGGGTATGGGCTGTTGGAGTGGTTGAGGAAGTCAAGAAACTTCAAGATTAGGATGTTGAATATCAATATTGAGATTGTCTAGAATGTTTATAGAGTTCTGGGTAGACAGTAAGATTGAGGAGACTTGTTTTAGGAGATCAGATAATGATAACAGTGAGAACTGAAAGGTGGAATCAGTGGTGCAAACCTTGAAGAAGTTCAAGAGTGGAAAAATAATGGTTAAAAGAGATTTTTTTTAAAAAAGGAGAATGACGATACCTCCTCTCAGGCCTTTGCTTCCTTTGGTGTGAGAGGATGAACAGTCTGGGGTTATAGTCAAAATAGTGTGATAAGAAGGCAGCTACTGAAGGCAAGGGCCAGGGGAGGCATATTTGGGGGCGGGGGGCATCTAAAATATAGACTTTGTAAGAGTTAGGTTTGCATTTGATGGTATGTAACAGGATCTCAACCTAGATTAACTAAATAGGGAATTTATTGATGTTATGAAATAAAAAGTCTAAGAATAAGCATTTCAGGGTTGGTATTGTGGCTTCATGAGACCATCAGGGAAGGATCCTGCTTGCTTCCTGTGACACCATTCTTAGCATGTGGCTTTTGATCTCATGGTACCAAGATGGCTTCTGTAATGCAAGGCATCATGTTCTAGTTATAGACCGGAAGAAGAGAAGGAGAAGGGCAAAGTGTGTGCCAGCTCCGAGTTTCCCCTTTCAATAGTAAAACAATAGGTGTTCTGGAAACTCTGAAGTAGACTTCCATTTGCACCTCACTAGATAAAACCGTATCAACTGACCATTTCTGGCTTTAAAGGAGCCTAAAAAATCAAAATTGTTTGATCTGAGACATACTGATATTCCTAGTAAATCTGGTATTCTGCTAGTAAAGGAGAGGAAATAGATTTTGGATAGGTAATAAGTGAACACTAGAGTATTATTTATTTCTTATAATCTCATGAGAGTATTTATTTATTATAATCTCATGTTATTCTAAAGGGTACTTAAGGAGGGGGCACCTGGATGGCTTAGTCAGTTAAGCATCCAACTCTTGATCTCAGCTCAGGTCTTGATCTCAGGGTTGTGAGTTCAAGCCCTGCACTGGGCTCTGCGCTGGGCATGGAGCCTACTTAAAAATAGATAAATAAATAAGTAAATATGTATATAAATAAATAAGTAAATAAATAAATAAAGGGTACTTAAGGAGGTTTTACAAAGATGTTAACAACATGGCAAAGTTTTAAAAAGTATTAGAGATAAAGCAAAGGAGAAATAAGAACAAGATGATAAAATGAACTCCACTTCCATGGAAATGGAAATGGAAATGGAGTTCATTCACAGAATTGGCTCTAAGCTTTCTAGCAGCCAATTCAAAGAGGAAAGGAAAATCAATGTCCTTGAGACAAGGGTTTGTTTGGTTGGTTGCTTGTTGGGGAGACTACTCCAAAAGGCACAGTAAAAAGGGTTAAGGTAGGCAGGAAACCACCAGAGGGAGACTGATTTACTGGGGAGAAAGCATAAAGCAGTAACATGACAGCAGTACTTTAAAATAGGGTAGAGTATAAATGTTGGTGAAGGAATGAGATTGTGATTTGCAGTTGTGAGTGACTGAGGATGATGGAAATTAAGTACTTTAGGATTAATTGGCTTTCATGGCTCAAAAGTGGCCCCAGGCTAAGACTTCAACTGGAGTCAAACCAGATGAGGCCACTGTCTATGCCTCTGTCAAGAGTCTTTAGCCTTTGCTTGTATCCTAAATAGAATAATGCATGATGTATGTTGTGAGCTCCTGCAAACAGATCTGGCTAGATGAGTGATATGGTTTTTAAAATGTTCTTTTACTGAGTGACTGAGAGGGAAGGAGAAAGGAAGAAGTGTCAATTCTAAGGATCTGACCTCTCTATGTGTTTGAGGCCCAAGGTGACTTGAAGGCTAGTTTCCAATTAAGGAAATTTGAAACTCTCTTCAGTGTGCAAATACTACCCCCATCCTTAAAGCAGTCTCTGCACAAACAAAAGTTTTTGGATACTTTGCACCACTTCCATATGTGGTAATAATATAAGTACTGTTCCATCTAAGACATAATTATTTTTTCAATTCACTTGGTGGTGCTTTTTTTTTTTTTAAATATCTGTAGTAGATTCTGAATGAATAGTGTCTTGTTTTTAAAATTCCTAGCATCTAGCACAATGACTGACACATGCTAGCATCTAAATAAACAACTGAATTATTTGTAGTGTTCGTATTTGCTTCCCATAGAATTTTTTAAAATTTTATTTTATTATGTTATGTTAATCACCATACATTACATCATTAGTTTTTGATGTAGTGTTCCATGATTCATTGTTTGTGTATAACACCCAGTGCTCCGTTCAATATACCTGCCCTCTCTAATACCCATCACCAGACTAGCCCATCCCCCCACGCCCCTCCCTCTAGAACCCTCAGTTTGTTTCTCAGAGTCATAGTCTCTCATGGTTCATCTCCCCCTCCGACTTCCCCCCCTTCATTTTTCCCTTCCTACTATCTTTTTTTTTTTTAAACGTATAATGTATTGTTTCAGAGGTACAGGTCTGTGATTCATCAGTCTTACACAATTCACAGCACTCACCCTAGCACATACCCTCCCCAATGTCTTAAAAAGTGTTATGATAAATTCTGGATAAAGCCAAAAAATGGCTTATTAAAAGAATTATTCATTTATTTTATTTTATTTTTTCCTTTCATACGCAGATTTATTTGGTACGCATGACGAGGCAACCCACCAGCAATTCCGCCAAGGGGAATACCATCAATGTCACGAAGCTGGGAAACGTTGACCTACATTTAGCTCAGCATATTCATAATGGCTTACACAGAGAACACCATGGTGAACCACCACGTTCAAGTCCCACGTCCCTTTCCGTCAGATTCTCGGAAGTGGAGCTCTGTTGAGGCGACGGGCATCCCAGCAGACCTAGTGCTGCTTCTGGGAGGCGGTCAGTGACACGGCACGAAAGCACATGGCCATCACCAGGGCATTCATGCTACAGAGAAACCCTGTATCTTACTGACAACGAGGCAGGGAGGAGAGACGGAGATCCGGGGAGGGAAAGTGCCAACATGCATCATGGGAGCCGAAACACAGAAGTTAAGGACCTCTGGTACGCAGTGAACCACAGAAAGCCCCACGGTGACCCAGAAATTCCAGGCAGGAAAGGGTAGGCCCTTCCCGGACTGGCTCCACGCTCACACGGACCGAGTGTCCAGTCCTCAGACTGCTTTCGCTCCTTCTCTGACTTCTCTCACTGCTTACTGTTCGGTCCCCAAAAGGAACCCACGCTCAGGATCTGGCCACACCAGCCTCCACGTCTGAATCCGTTCAGATCTCTGTCACGTGAGGACGAGAGCCTCAGTTTTCTTTCAACCACTGCTTCAGGAGCCTCTGGAACATTCTTTTGCTTTCCTGCTGCATCTCCAGTTGGAGCTTCTCCTCTCTCTCCTGCTGTTGGAGCACCCCTTCGGGCAGAAGGCCGGGCCGGTTGGTCCCCAGGCTGAGGGTCAAGCCACTGAGGCCCGGCACCATCGTGTCCCGGGAGGAAGGATGCGGGGTCCCTTTCCTCTCTGCAGGCATCCCGGAGACGCTGGGCCTATGGCTCTGGCAGTGTCGACATTCACAACGGAATCTGTTCGGATCTCTATCCCCCGAGGAAGAGATCCTGGCCTTCCTCTCGACGCGGTAAGGTGCCACGTGACCGAGGTGTCGCCGTCTCACTTGCCCCAGAAGTGTTCTCTTCCGCTGAGGGGACGCTGCCCTTTCCCACCGCCTCTCTTGGAGGGTTTTCTCATCCCTGTACCGCTGCTGGAGCAGCCCCTCTGGCAGAGGGGCAGGGTGTCTGGTGCCCGGACTGGTTTTGAGGTCACCGAGGCCCATCATTAGCAGTTCTGAGAAGGAAGGAGGGGAGGCTGCTGTGACTTCCTGGGAGGTCTCTTCAGAGCTCATCGGGGAAGATTCGGGAATCAATGTTGAGTTACATTTCTGGACTGGATCCATCCAGGTGTTGTCAGGGCTGACAGCTCCTCCTGGCCCTTGGGTCTAGACAGGACGGTGAAGATGAAGGTTCTCAAAGAGCTGGAAGGTAGCGGAGGGACGGGCACGGCCGGAAGAACCCAGACCTGAGTTCCAGCTCTGCCATCGTCTTGCCAAGAATTATTAATTTTTTAAAAACCTGGTGCAAAGCTGTTTCCAGAGCTAAGGAATTTGGAATGTCAGATTTTCTTTTTGCATAGAAATAAATTTAAAGAATTTAAATCCATATTCTGAATATATCTCCAACATTAGAATTTTAGAAAGCTATTAGTGATGCGGTGAATATGATGTACTGCAGTTTTAGCACTAATGTAAGTACAAGGAGATGTTAGAAATTTTTTGTTGAATTACATTTTCTCTTACTGGGTTCCTCCTGACTCTCCCTACCAGCCACACTATTGTCCATTAATATCTACAATCCAATTTGTTTCTTAAATATTTCCCATAAATCTGGCAATAACATATAAAAAGCACTGTTAAATAAGTAAATCATTCTTTTAAGACTTGAGCTGAATAGTATGGTGGTTTCAAAAAAAATAAACATAGAATACCATCCAGCAATTGCTTTTCTGGGATATACCCAAAATAATTGAAAGGAGGGACTCAGACAGATATTTGTACATCTATAGTCATACCCACATTATTCACAATAGCCAAAAGGTGGAGGCAATCCAAGTGTCCATCAGTGGATGAATGGATAAAAAAATATGGTGTATACATACAGTGGAATATAATTAAGTCTTAAAAGGAAGGAAATTCTGACACATGCTACAATATGGATGAATCTTGAAGACATTATGGTAAGTGAAATAAGCCAGTCACAAAAGGTTGAATACTGTATGATTCCACTTATAGAATGAACCTAGAGTAGTCAAATTCATAGAGAGAAAAAGTGGAGTGGTAGTTGCTAGAGGCTAGGGGACAGGGGGCATGGGGAGTCATTAAATAATAATTTAAATAATAACTTCCAATTGAGAAGATGAAAAAAGTTCTGGAGATGAATGGTGGTAATGATCGCTCAACAATGTGAATGTAATTAATGCCACTAAACTATACACTTAAAATTATTAAAATGGTAAATTTTATGTTATGTATATTTTACCACAATCAATCAATAAACAAAGACTTAGCTCATATAAAGATCTAAATAGTTCCAAAATCAAAGAAAAATTATCAGCCTTTTAATAATAATAATATATTTAAAATAATAAATAAAATGACCATAGCCTTGTGTTACTAAAACTTCATAGTGGAGAATAATCTATTACAACATAAAATCACCTGGAAACAACTCAACTGATACAGAAGAAACTTCATTTTAAATATCTGTATTAGATTAGCCAAAATAAGACAATATTATATTATATTTAGAAGTGAAAGATTTGTTGCAGTAATTTAGAATCAGATAGTTGCATCTAAAAATAATCACAAATGTTAAGATGTCAATCCTCACCAAGTTGATCTATAAATTCATATCAATCCCAATCAAAATCCCAGCAGAATTTCTTGTAGATATTGGAGCAGCTGGGTGGCTCAGTCAGTTAAGCATCCAACTCTTGATTTCAGCTCAGGTCATGATCTCAGGGTTGTAAGACCAAGCCCCAAGTGATGTTCCTCACTGGGCCTGGAGCCTGCTTAAGATTCTCTTTCCCTGGGGCGCCTGGGTGGCTCAGCCGTTAAGCGTCCGCCTTTGGCTCAGGTCATGATCCCAGGGTCCTGGGATCGAGCCCCACATTGGGCTCCCTGCTCAGTGGGGAGCCTGCTTCTCCCTCTGCCTGCTGTTCCCGCTGCTTGTGCTTGCTCTCTGTCTCTCGCTGTTTCTCTCTCTGTCAAATAAATAAATAAAATCTTTAAAAAAAAAAAAGATTCTCTCTCCCTCTCCCTCTGCCCTGCCCCCCACCTGCTCACATGGGCATGCGCTCTCTCTAAAAAAAAAAAAAAATTTCTTGTAGATATCAACAAACTGTTTCTAGAATTTATATGTAAAGACAGAGGAACTAGGGTCGCCAAAACAAGAAGAAAAAGTTGGAGGACTCACGCTATCTGACTTCAAGACTTCGTATAAATCTACAATAATCATGACAATGTGGTTTTGGCAAAAGGATGGACACATAGATCAACAGACATAATACAGTCCAGAATTAAACCCTCAAAAATATGGTCAATTAATTTTTGACAATGACGCAAAGGTAATTCAATGGAGAAAGGTTGGTCTTTTCAAAAAATTGTGCTGGAACAACTGGATCATGCAAAACATAAACTTGATTTATACCTGACACTTTATATAACAATTTGCTCAAAATGGATCACAGACCGAAATATAAAACTTCAAAATATTAGAAGAATGCACAGAAGGAAATCTTTGTGACACCAGGTTAGGAAATGAGTTCTTAGATATGACATCAAAATCATAGTTCTTAAAATAATTGATACATTGGACTTCATAAAAATTAACTTTTTTTCCTCTTTGAAAAACCTCAAAGAAAATGAAAAGAGAAACAACAAATCAGGAGAAAATATTTGTAAATTATGTATCTGATACAAATAAACTTATAAACAGAACACAGATAGAGCTCAGTAATTAGATACAATGGAATATTATTCAGCCATAAAAAGGAATGAAATTCTGATATATGGTACAACATGAATGGACTTGCAAACATTACAAATTATGTTTATAATTATTTATATTTATAAACAAATAAATTATGCTTAGGGAAATAAGCCAGACACAAAAAGACAAATGTTGTAAGATTCCACTTATAGGAGGCACCTAGAATAGAAAAATTAATAGAGATAGAAAGTAGAGAAGTTACTAGGAACTAGGGGAAGAAGGGGGAAGAGTGTTAGTGTCTAATAGGTACAGAGTTTTTCTTGGGAATGATGAGTTTTGGGTATAGATAGTAATGATTGTTACACAACATTGTACATGTATTTAATATCAATGAATTAGATACTTATGAATGGTTAAAATTTAAATATTATGTTATGTATGTTTACTATAATTTAAAAAATCTTAGTAATAAGAAAACAACCAAATTTATTTGATATTTATTTTCTTTAAAGATTTACCTATTTATTTTAGAGAGAGAGGGAGAGAGTGCAAGCAGAGGGAGGGGCAGAGGGAGAGGAAGAGAGAATCCTTAAGCAGACTCCCCACCAAGAACAGAGCCCAACACAGGGCTCAATCCGAGGATCCTGAGATCATCCTGAGCTGAAATCAAGTCCTGGCCACTTAACCAACTGAGCCACCCAGGCTTCCCCCAAATTTTTTTAAATGAGCAAAAGTTTTGAACAGATTTCACCAAAGAAGATATACGGTCAAGAGGTACAACTTCCAGTTATAACGTAAGTAAGATGGGGATGTAAGGTACAGCCTGGTGACTATTGTCAATAATATTGTATTGCATATGTCAAAGTTGTAAGAGAGTAAATCTTAAAAGTTCTCATCACAAAAACAATGTGCAATTTTGTATGATAATGGATGGTAACTATACTTATTGTGGTGATCATTTTGCAGTGTATACAAATACCAAATCATTATGTTGTAAATCTAAAATAAATATGTTATATATTAATTATACTGTAATTTAAAATGCCTTTTTGAAATTAAAAAAAGAAGACATACAAATGGATAATAAGCTCATGAAAAAATTGTTTGTCATAAAGGAAACACAAATTGAAACCACAAAGAGATGTTGCTATATACTCACAAGAATAGTTACAGTAAAAAAAGACTGACAATACCAAGTGTTGATGAGTATTTGGAGCACCTAGAACTCTCATACACAGCTGGTAAAAATGCAACATGGTACAGTGACTTTGGAAAGAAGTTTGGCAGTTTCTTACAAATTTAAACATAAAATACTATCAACCCATCAATCCCAGTCCTAAGTATTTACACAAGATAAATTAACACTTACATTCACACAAGACCCTGCATGCATTTGTTGAGAGCAGCTTTATCCATAATCATCAAAACTTGGAAACAACTCTTAAATGCTTATACTGCGGAATGGACAATCAAATTGGGATAGGATACATCCATGATATATACGAAATTCTACTCAGCAGCAAAGAGAAACAAACTATTGACACAAGCAACAGCATTGATGAATCTCAAATACACTATTCTTTTTTTAAAAAAGATTTTTCATTCATTTATTTCAGAGAGAGAGAGAGAGTGCTTGAGAGAGCACACATGTGCATGAGCAGGAAAAGGGCAGAAGTAGAAGTAGGCTCTCTACTGAGCAGGGAGCCTGATGCAGGACTCACTCCCAGGACCCTGAGATCATGACCTGAGCCGAAGGCAGACACTTAACCGACTGAGTCACCCAGGTGCCCCTCAAACACATTATTCTAAGTGAAAGAAGCCAGACACAAAAGGCTACTTCCACCCATCCATATGATTCTATTTATATGACATTTTGGAAAAGGTAACTCTATGGGTAGAGACCAGATCAGTAGTTGCCAGACGTTAGAGACTGGAGGGTTGACTGTAAAGGGGCTGCAAGAGGGAAGTTTCTGGGTTATGGAACTGTTCTACATCTTGACCTTTGGGGTGTTTATGTGACTCTATGCGTTAGTCAAACTCATAGAAAAATTAATTTTACTGTATTAAAGTGAAATATAAAATTTTAAAAATAATTACATATATGATCATGAAAAGCATATTAATAATAATCCTGGAGATGTACTGAGGTGATTAGTGAAAAAATGGATATATGATCAACAGACATATTTTAAAAAACATATTTTAAAGTATACTATAGAATTAGCCACTACATGATATACCAAGAGCCCTAATAATGGATGAACAAATTTTTCCAACAGATTAGTTATTCTACTGTCTGACAAAAATAAAAAAGCAGTAGGAAAAAAATGCCTTGCTATTAAAAATATCATAGAAATTTATACGGTGGCAGAGGGGAATAAAAAAGTATGTGCCTCTGGCAGAGGAGCTGAAAGTAAATATGGAAACTCAAAACCATCAAAGTAAAGCTGCTTATCCTCCTAGCAACTGGTATGACTTCATATACATGAAATCTTACTTGGACATCTTATCATGTAGAAATGCTTTGATGTCAGTTTAGAATCAAGGACTTCTAT